GGCCGCGCGCGTCCTCGCGATTCTTATCGCGGGCTATTCACGCGCGCACCGGTAACACGATTCGCCTTTATCTCTATCGCGTCTCACGCACACTCTCCCCTCGTCTCCTTAATATCTTTCCCGCTATTTTCGTCGTGTCACTGAGCGGAAGACCAGTCGCGGATCGCGTCGCGTCGCAACGAGGGAAACAACGACGTCGAAAACGAAGACGGAGACGAAGACGTGAACCACCACCACCACCGACACCGCCTCGTGTCCGGTAACCTCGAACGAATCAGAATCGTCGCGCCACCGTGACCGCGACCGAGGACGTCGCTCGTGGACGAGGACGCGTCTACTCTCGCTGCTGTTCTCGACGAGTCAACCGACGACGACGATGACGACGTTGCTGTTGCTCCTCCACATCCAGCACGTCGGATCGGCATAGAGATCCGGTACCACAGCGGCGGCGACCACCGTGCGCCCATGACATACGCGGAGCGAGTGAGAACGCACACTCTGCGCTCGAGTGAATACGTTAGTTCGTGTCGAGCGACAGGGAGAGAGAGCCAGGGCAAAAGAGCAACGGAAAGAGAGAGAGAGCAACCGTAGAGAAGGGGGACACCTCTCTGTCTAGCCGTGCGCGTCGATCTCTCTCCGTCTCTCCCTCGGTGCCCGCCGGTACCCCGAGCTGTCCAAAGGACCCTTCCGTTCCGTTTCGCTTATGCCCCTCTTTTTGCCACGAGACTCACTGCCACCACCACTACTATCCGAGCGACAACCACCACCACCACCACCGACCACTACCACCACCAGTACCACCGTTACCACCTGGTCCACCCTGCTAAGCGGCGTGCTCGCGTGTTCTTCGGCTTTACCGTTCCGTTCGTACGTTCGTTCGTTTTACGGTTCTCGCTGCGCGACACCCTGACGCGTGCTACGCTCAAACTACGCTTCCTCCGGGTCCAGGTGCCACTCGTACGATATATCCACCTTTCTTCCCCGCGACTCTACACGCGCGCTACTCTCTCTGTCCTTCTCCCTCTACCGTCTCCTTGCACGTTACAACTGCGTCCGCGCCAACCGACATCCCTTGTCCTACCACCACCGTCACAACGTCACTCGCGCTCTGTCTCTCGCCACCGGTGAGCGTGTACCTGCACGATCCTTCGCCCTCTCTTTCTAGCCCGGACACCACGAACCACGTGAAAACCCTTTTCTCGAGCGGGATTCAAGCTTCCCGACACTTTCGACCAAATACCACGCGTTCGTTCACGATCCCTCGACTCTTCGTCCGCTGTCTCGTCGGTTCTTTCTCGCTGTCGTCGTAGTTGCCGTTTTACGACCACCCCCAACGCAGCTTAAGTCTCCAACGATGACATATTCGTCGTCGTGGCTGCGAGGAACCACTACGTGCGCGCCGTCGGCATCGTCGCTACCACCTCCACCGTCACCGCCGCCGTCGCCACCGCCATCGCCACCGCTCTGGCGTCAGTCAGCTTTCTATCGATTTTCCGATACCTCGTGACCAACGTTGTTCGATGCGCCGATACTTCGAGCATAAACATCGACTACGCGGCGACCTATCCTCGACCGATAAGCGCGTTCCGCGAGGGACTACCCTGCCACCTCCGATACCTCGATCCGTTTATCGATCCTCCGGTCCGACTCTTCCTCGACGAACAGTTCAATCCTCTCGATCTTCCATCGATTACTTTCACACCGAATTTTCCCGCGAACTCTCGTAGTCGTATCGAAGTTCTTCTAGAAACAATCCGTGGAACTCACGGACAGGTGCGCCTCGCGCGATGGCACGCCGAACCGCGCCACGTAACCGAATCCCAGGATCGATAAGCAATCGAATCGCGAGTCGTCCGATCGATCAGCGTTGCTCCACGTGTCTCGAATCGTTTGCGTCGCTCGAACGTGTGTCTGGTCTCAGGTCCAACGCAATTGCACGATCGAAACGCGCATCCCCTGTCCACGAAGGAGGGGAGGGCAAGGGCCAGTCTTCAAGATGTCCTCCCCTGGGTCTTCTCCGATCGATCGACCACCCCTTTTGTCGTTGCTCCGCTAGCTGGCACGATCGAGTAGTCGAAGCGATGGTCGAAGCGAATCGAGGACGCGCTGCTGGCTCTCCCTTGGTCGCCCAGCGCCCACCGAAGCCGTCGATAGGCTGGATCAATAAGGGGAGGGCAGAGGCGTCGAGAGGCGTCGACGCGTGCCGGTAGTACGATCGATCTCTCTCCGTCTCTCTCTCTTTAGCGACTCGAGCTTCGTTCGATTCTCCTCGTCGAAGCAGCTTCACACTGGCGGCCGATCGGTCGATGAATCGACGACGATGTTGATTCGAGCACGCTCAACGCGCATACACCCCCGACGTGATCCTCTTCGACTCGCGATCCCCGGCCCGCACGACGCGAGTGCGCGTTCACGCGCACGCGTGCGCGCACCCTTCGTAACCTGTCCACCCTCTCCGCTCCGACAGAATCTACCACCCCTATACAACCGAAACTCTCTCTCGAATTCGAGGATTCGACGACTCCGTGCGTCTCGATTCGATTTCTCGAAGAAACGATGCCTTTGGAGCCGGTCGCGGGACAAAGCGGTTTACGAACGCCGCGCCGCGCGCTCGCAGCCCGCGAGAGGGAGCGAGAGGCGTACGCTTGGCTCGGACGAAGAGGAAACCAGTCGCAGGGTTGCGCAAATCGCGAACGCGACTGCTACGTGCCTACCGGCTACCTTCGTGCGTCCTTCGCTGGCCGAGGGACCTACGGGGAAGGGAACAGGGCACTCGGGTGGGGAAACCGAGGGGTGGAGATCTTGTGACGGGGATCTGTAACGAACTCGATACGCAGGGGTCGCGAACAGACGAACGAGGGGTGCAGGAGGACTCGCTACGAGGGGTGGCTCAGGGACTGGTTCACCGTTCTTCGCGCCCGACACTAAGGGATCTTACGGAGAAGATGCCCCTCTACCGACTACAATTGCGACGCTTCGTGCAATCCGGTGAAACCTGGCAAATTGTTGCGAAGTTACGACTTTTACGCGGAACCTAACTTTATCGCCAACTGGAAAAATTATCTATTCTCCGGATAGGTTTTACATTTCTTTGAAACCTCGCGTTTACACCATTTTTTAAAGGTCTTTCAACGAAGCATTTGCAGTAGGTTGCAGAATTTAAACGATCGGACTTCTTACGTTCTACTATTCGATAAGAGTTTAACCAGCGTTATCTACTGGGTACAAGGGATTAGCGTTTCGCGCTCGAACGTGGCACCGCTTCGATCGAAAGCACGCGGAATATTTTCCCGCGCGAAAAACTCGACGGCTCCGATCGGTCGATCTCGCGCGCGCTCTACGATGCTCATCGATCGGCACTCCTGACGGAATCGGTAGAGCAATCACGTCGCACCTACACGCAGAAGGTGCTCCAGACGAAATCCATCGGCTCTCGCGACGAAATAAAATCGATATCGAAGTCGAGGAATAAAAAGCGTCCCAGCGAGAGGTCCGTGCTTCTGCCACTGATTTGTTCGAACGAAAATCTCTTTTTTTATTGTTCTTCATTAGGTCTCGTTTACTTTTTATTTGGACATTGATCCAACTCTACATTTTCACCCCCGGAAAATCATTCAATAAATAGTAACTTAGCACCTCGTTCTTAGGCTCTAAGGAACCTTGTCCTTAAGTCTACATGTCCGATATTCTTAACGTAGATCAAAACCAATATTAACCTAAGTTAAGTCTACAAAAAGACATCATCCCTAATCTCCCTAATAGTTCAATAATCGTCCCAAACGCGCGAATTAAATGTCCCTTTCGAAGAAGGCACAGTGGCGCCCAATTTGGACGGTCCTGAGGGTTGTCCGTGCACAAGGATGGAGGGGATGAGGCCGACGGAGGGAGAGTACGGCGATGTAACGTCGATATCTCGCTCTATACCGGGCGTCGCGACGCCGAGTGGGGCGACCGGGGGATAGGGGAAAGTTCCACATGGGTAAAATAATCGATAGCGCGACCGATATGTATGTACCGAGAGCTTTACACGTACACGGTGACTCGCCAACACCGAGGCGGCCCCTGTACCCACGTGTGTGTGGTTTACGCGCGAGCACCGAGAGACAAAAAGAAAGAGAGGGGCGAGAGGAAGAACGGTCAGCTTGTGCACATAAACGCGTGCTGCCATAAACACGGAAACGAGCCGGGGGTTAGACAGGGGTGAGACATGGAGTTTGTGTATGACCATAAGGAGAGCCAACAGATAATTTACGGGAAGACGGGGTAGAATTTGAACGGTTCAAAATTTATTTGGAAAATTCAAAGACTCAACGAATTCAAAATTTGGAGAATTCTAAAGAACTTGTCAGTGTTCGAAGTATTCAGAGAATTTGTCAGTTTAAATTTATTCGAGAATTCGTTGCTAGAATACAAATTGAGGGGTTGCAGATTTGCATACTGAAGTGCCATGTGATGTAACAATTTTGAAAAAGTATGCGGGTCTGACTCACGTAATTTGGAGACTAGATAAGGGTTGATAAAGTCGGCAAATAATGCAGTATCTAAAAGAGGGCGAGAAAGGGAGAGCGTGGGCGTAAGAACCGCCAAACAGAGGGTGGCTAATAATAACGCGCGCGGATTTTCCGTATAAATATAAAAATGAAGGGTGACTGTCTAAAAAACGCAAGGGTAATTGTTAAAACTCGAATTTACCTAAGAAACGTTGACGCGTTTGTGTGAAACCGTACATGTCCTCCGAAGAGAAACACGGAGGGACAAACACGTACTCGGGAAGTATGTGCGACCGCAAGTATATGGAACGAGGAGGGAGGAAGCGCGAAGAACACGAGCGTAGGTGTCGGTCGTAGGAGAGAAAGCGAGACGCGAACAGGGAAACCATATGTACCTAACGAGAAATTTGTACATAGCCGCAAACCGGCGAGACTTGGAGCGCGAGGGGGTCGAAACGTGTACGTACGCTCGGACACACGCGCGTACTGGTTAGAACAGGCGAACGGGCAGCGCGCGCGCGACCATATCGTCGGCCATTGCAAATTTTCCGAAACTGTGCCGTGAACCGTCTAGTCACAGGTGTTCGATCGGTTTATCGAACCAACCAGATTTCAACGCGTCTATCTTTACACTTTCCCTTTCGTTCACCATTTTTCACGGATTCCTGCTACAAATGGTAGCAACTTTTATTCATTCTTTATCACGGTATGTGTGCATACTGCAAGTTGCTGGGATCGGGATTGATAAAAATTTATGTCTATCACATGTCATATGTGAGGTAAATGTACTTCTAGAGCTAAATTCTTTTTGGGTACCCAAAGTGTTTTGGATCATTTTATAATGAACTCATGCCTCTTTAATGATGTATTCACATATGAACTATTAACACTAAACACATGTGTGAATCACATGTGACATGTGAGGTAAATGTACCTTAAGAGCTAAATTCTTTTTGGGTACCCAAAGTGTTTTGGATCATTTTATAATGAACTCATGCCTCTTTAATGATATGTTCACATATGAACTATTAACACTAAACACATGTGTGTATCACATGTCATATGTGATGTAAATGTACCTCATGAGCTAAATTTTTTTTTGGAACTCAAAGTGTTCAAGATCATTTTGTAATGAATTTATGCCTCTTTAATGATGTATTCACATATGAACTATTAACACTACAGACATGTGTGTATCACATGTCACATGTGAGGTAAATGTACCTCAAGAGCTGAGTTCTTTTTTGGAACTCAAAGTGTTCAACATCATTCTATAATGAACTCATGCCTCTTTAATGATGTATTCATATATGAACTATTAACACTAAAGACATGTATGTATCACATGTGACATGTGAGGTAAATGTACCTCAAGAGCTGAGTTCTTTTTTGGAACTCAAAGTGTTCAGCATCATTCTATAATGGACTCATGCCTCTTTAATGAGGTATTCACATATGAACTATTAACATTAAAGACATGTATGTATCACATGTGACATGTGAGGTAAATGTACCTCATGAGCTAAGTTCTTTTTAGGAACCCAAAGTTCAGGATCACTTTATAATCGCCTCATGCCCCTTTAACGATCTATGAACATGTGAAGCCATTCACATATCACTTCTCTGTTAAATTGTGCCTAACGAAAATCAAAATTAATAGTTGAAGTCTAAAATTGACTTAGTCGTTACACTACCCATTTGCTAATTTCGTGACAATAAAAAGAGGACATCCTCATCGATTCAACCACGTATTTTAATTTCGCCTGGCAAAAAGAATTTCTCAGAATTAACGAGATTTTCCAGATTAGCTCGTGCGTCGGATAGAATGTAATTAAGTTGAAACAGGAAGCCCTCGGGCCTCCTTCGATGCATCCCTCGAGACAGGGTTTCCTACCATCTTTGTCCACCTTTTTCTCTATATTACGGACATTGGGTAAATAATTCCTAATCAATTTACTATGAATGTATCGAGTAAGGGTTCGACCAATTAAGGTCCCAGACGTAAGGGTAGCGTGAGAGGGTGAGTTCGAGGAGGTTAATCGCAGAAAAGAAAACGGCACGGGCCCCTCGTGCAGATGTCTCGTCAAGTCGCACCTGGCGGCAGGTGGTGGCTACCGTGGGGGTTCCTGTCCACCTTTCACCCCCCTTCCATGCCTCGGTTTCCTGAAGTAGAACACGCGCCACATATGATCGAGCACGTGGAGCACCAGAGTTTAAAATCATGCTGATGGACACCGATCTATAGGTGCCGCTACGTACATATCTAACCATCATGTCAGATGACAGGAAACATTCCTCTTCAAAGACACAGATCGAATTACACAGATTGGGCAAAATATATTTTTATTCATTTTCTCAGGGTTTTAAAGGTACAACAGTGGATAGAATGTGCTACATATTTCATAACATTAGTAATTTCATTAACGTTAACTTGAACTTGTGGAGACTTTAGGGACTTTAGGGAGGCTTTAGGCGAAGCTTGGTCAACCTTATGAAGCTTGTCGTTGCATTATTTTTCTAAGACCCGTTGACTTTAAGTTGATCATATTCTGCACCTTATGAAGCTTGTCGTCGCATTACTTTTCTAAGTCCCGTTGATGTTAAGTTAGTCGTACTCCGCGCCTATAGTGATGCTCATCTCGTCTGAGACGATCTCCGTCTGATGGTACCAGCGGTTCGTGTCCAGGACAACTGTTCAACACATCAAATTGAGGATCTCCAAATTCGATTATTCGGAAACTTACTTATGTCGCCAGGGTGTACCACGACCTCCAACCTCCTGCACGTGTAGTGGCATTCCCTAGGCGGTTCCAAGATCCACAGCTTCTCTCCTTTGATCTGAGCCTGCCAGGAGGGATGCTCCACATTGTCCACCTGGAATAGTTCGTACAATAGAGGAGGCTCGATAAGTACCAGCTTGATAATGCAAGGCTTACGTGCATAGGAGCTCCATAACCGTGGCTGCCCATGAAAATCCAGTCGGTCCTCTCGCTTTCGGCGGTGTCAGGCAGAAAATAAGGCTTCCGGTAGTGTTTCCTCAAAATATTCCCTATCTCATCGTCACAGTTGCTCCTAAAAATCAAAATTCCTTAACATCGAATAAAAACTGTTTCTAGGTAATTCACGAGATGAGTACAGTTAAGCTCGTTAGCCGGATTGTGTGCATACGTGTGAGCTTTAGGGCAGTTATCGAAGCCTCGAAACTGCAACTTCACGGGCACCTACTTCCGGAGCGCCACAATTTCGAAACACTGTCCCAAATAATTCTGAGAAATCACTTACCAGCCCACGTACCACGGTTTAGTGCCCTTTTCCAGGAGAGAGCGACTGGCACTCATGTTGAAAACCTCCTGCAGGTTCTTGAACTCCGTTTTGTACGGGAAAAATTGGCAATTCGCGTCCTCGCCTTCGTACAGGGATTTAAAGAAGGGGAAAGAGAACACGCTCGGGGCTGTCCAGTTCTGGGTTGCGTCGGTGACCACCACTGGGCGACCGCTGTAGGCGTAGCTGTTGAAAAGCAACTCGGTTTTTATGGAAAATTTAATGCATTATAATTCTCTTTGCACTCAATTTTGTTTTGCAGTTAATTTTTACCGAGCAACTCTTTAATTTATAAAATGGATCAAGGCAGTGGTTCTCAGATGTGTGCTACAGTGTGGAGTATGTGACATTTTTCGTTTATTATAAAATATGTGGAGGCAATTTATTTATTTAAGGTCCAAGTATATTTATGGAAAGTCAAAGAGAAATGTAGAGACATGACAAAGTGCAAAGAATTAATGTTAAGATCATACAAATTGCAGATTAGGAAAATACCGTTCCTCGAATGTGGCAGGATCCACATTGGATATCCTGTCAACCTGTTGAACATCCTGGCAAATCGAACAATCCTCGGCCGGCCGGAAAATGTTCTGCGTGAACGAGGGAAACTCTGCCAGACACTTAAACATTTTATCGATTAACTATTTAGATATATTTATATGAAGACTCATCAAATATTATTGAGCTCTAATTTATGTCTCCGGGCGATTTAAATATATTTACTACACACAAATTGAATAAAAATGTGAATAACACAGGAAATTAGAAATGCCATTAAAAATTAAGAATGACAGAACGGTATTCACTAAAAAGAGATTGAGATCAGATTCTCACCTTGTCGTAGCGAATCGATAGTCCATAGTTCCACAAAAATTGTCCCAGAATCCAGGCAGGAATCAGTAGGATCCACAGGTGTGTCCTGTGAACCTTGGAGCTACGGGGTTTCAGCAAGGAATAAGCGTGGAGCAGTTTCAGTGATCTGCTTGGTAGTCGTGCTCCTTCGATTTTATTCAACAGCGAACGCAATTCCTTCCTTGCGAGCTCTAGACTCTTTTTGGAGGAGTCTGACAGCTTGTTGCTGTTTATGTCCGTCATGACATCAAATTGTTAACCACTCAAGACTTGGTCTTCGGAACTCAAGGAATTGGTGTTTCAGATTTGGACCTTAAGTTATTTGGAGGGTTGTCAAGTTTAATCACTGCGGACTTTTGAGCTCTTGTGGACCTCAAGTTATCTGAAGGATTATATATTTTAATCACTGCGAATTTTGAGGACCTTGGACCTCAAGTTATTTGGAGGGTTGACAATTCTAATCACTGTAGACTTTAGGTTCTTGTGGATCTCAAGTTATCTCAAGGATTATATACTTTACTTACTGCGGACTTGGTGATCCTTGGACCTCAAGTTACCTCAAAGATTTTCAATTTTAATCACTGTGGACTAAATCCTTCTTGGACCCCAAGTTATCTGGAGGACCGTAAATTGCATCACTGCAGACTTTCAAATTTGGACCTCAACTTATCTGAAGGATTGTAAGTTTGATTCACTGCAGACTTTAAGGTCCTTGGACCTCAAGTTACCTCAAAGACTTTCAATTTTAATCACTGCTGACTTTGAAGCTCCTTAGACCTCAAGTTATATGAAGGACTATAAGTTTGATTCACTACAGACTTTAAGGTCCTTGGACCTCAAGTTACCTCAAAGACTTTCAATTTTAATCACTGCTGACTTTGAAGCTCCTTAGACCTCAAGTTATATGAAGGACTATAAGTTTGATTCACTACAGACTTTAAGGTCCTTGGACCTCAAGTTACCTCAAAGACTTTCAATTTTAATCACTGCTGACTTTGAAGCTCCTTAGACCTCAAGTTATATGAAGGACTATAAGTTTGATTCACTACAGACTTTAAGGTCCTTGGACCTCAAGTTACCTCAAAGACTTTCAATTTTAATCACTGCTGACTTTGAAGCTCCTTAGACCTCAAGTTATATGAAGGACTATAAGTTTGATTCACTACAGACTTTAAGGTCCTTGGACCTCAAGTTACCTCAAAGACTTTCAATTTTAATCACTGCTGACTTTGAAGATCCTTAGACCTCAAGTTATATGAACGACTGTAAGTTTGATTCACTGCAAACTTTAAGGTCCTTGGACCTCAAGTTACCTCAAAGATTTTCAATTTTAATCACTGTGGACTAAATCCTTCTTGGACCCCAAGTTATCTGGAGGACCGTAAATTGCATCACTGCAGACTTTCAAATTTGGACCTCAAATTATATGAAGGACTATAAGTTTGATTCACTGCAGACTTTAAGGTCCTTGGACCTCAAGTTACCTCAGAGACTTTCAATTTTAATCACTGCTGACTTTGAAGGACCTTAGACCTCAAGTTATATGAACGACTGTAAGTTTGATTCACTGTAAACTTTAAGGTCCTTGGACCTCAAGTTACCTCAAAGACTTTCAATTTTAATCACTGCTGACTTTGAAGGTCCTTAGACCTCAAGTTATATGAAGGACTATAAGTTTGATTCACTGCAGACTTTAAGGTTCTAGACCTCAAGTTACCTCGAGGGTTATGAATTTTAATCACTGACAGATTATGCTGTCGTCGATTTGAGATTTAGTATACAGCACCCTGAGGATGTTTGAGTAAATATGTCGAGGTGTTTGTTCTTAAAGTACGGCCATCAGGAGTGACAGTGGTTATGGTCGACGTTGAACTGCGGCAGAATCCTTTCACGAGGTTCCACTACGCCAAAGGACCCTCGCGCGTGGGGATGATGCGAGCACAGGGGTGTGAAATGAACAAGAAGCTGGTATCGCGATTGATTGAAATGAAATTTGTGGGAACTGGGGTCGAAGCAATTCCCTCTTTCCAGGGAATTTCAATCGTTGTCGATAAAGGTCATTAATGTCATCTTTTAAACTCTTCAGTGACCACCCCTTTAATTTCACCTTCCATTAAAAAATAATACAAACACTATATTCGAAACTGGTCACATCTCTTGACTTCCATAATTCTAATTAATTTTTAAAATTAATAGTAAATTTGTCTACTAAAATTTTATTTAATTTTCTTCCTGGGTGAACTCTTCCCCCAAACATTTTATATAACCTCGTTATTCAAAAAATAAATTATTCAATTTGATTTCGTGTCATTTGAAAATAATTTTTGAAGAGTTTTGGGATATTAAAAATATGCGTTGTTTTTGTTCGGCCATTTTTTCGACGATTTCCATTTAGCAGGAGCATAAATTGGAAAAAGGGAGTATGACCCGCGTTAAACCGGCGGTCGAGTGGATGCTGTCGACTTTCTTATCACACGGAGCAGGTGGTGGTGTTCATTGAGCCGTGAGGATTTTCTTGTTAAAATACAATCATCGAGGCAACCGTTATCGAGCGTTCCCATTTCTTTAACGCGTTTCATTTCCACGATGAATCGATCAATCTCCCGTGAATTTCCGCCAAAAATCGATTGAAAATATTTAGAAAACTTTCATCGTACTGCGTGTTCAAATCATATACGATATTGTCCCATTATTTTTTAAATAGAAAAGATATAAACAAGTTCGGTGTAGAAACAAGATAAACCTTTCTGTAATTTCAACTATTTTTGAAGTTGAGGGAAAACGACAATTGCAAAAATAGAAAGGGTTTCGATTGCCAGAAGGGGTTCGCGTTTTACGATTGCAAATTGACAATCTACCTCGCAATCTATTTCTTCGTTAACAATTATCCGATGCGAATTCGATATATTTTTTTCTTCTACGATATTCGGAATAAAATGGCGGAGAGGCAATGTAGGAAGAGCTGGAGCGAAAATATCATGAAAATAAAGGATAAAAATATTGTGAAAATAGAAGACAAAAATGTAGTAAAAATAAAAGACGAGAATATGGATAAAAATGCAGAAGATAAATATTGTAAAAATAGGAGACAAAAATATAATAAAAATAAAGAACAAAAATATTGTAAAAATTAAGAACAAAAATATTGTGAAACTAAAGAACAAAAATATAGTAAAAATAAATAACAAAAACATTGCAAAAACAAGAATAAAAATATAGTAAAAATAAAGAATAAAAATATTGCAAAAATAGAAGACAAAAATATAGTAAAAATAAATAACAAAAATATTGTAAAAACAAGAATAAAAATATAGTAAAAATAAATAACAAAAATATTGGAAAAACAAAGAACAAAAATATTGCAAAAACAAAGAACAAAAATATTGCAAAAATAAACAACAAAAATATAGTAAAAATAAATGACAAAAATATTGCAAAAACAAGTATAAAAATATAATAAAAATAAAGAACAAAAATATCAATAAATAAAAACAGCTCTAACACCTTCCCTTAAAATAAAAATTTTGTAGAACAGGGAGGGTTGAAAATAAAGTGGTACACACACGCTGTGTTCAGCGCAATTAAATTCTTTAATTGTTGTCAGTCGGGTTCGAAATACACTAGTCGATCGTTTATCATTAATAATTATTGTATATACGTGGTACTCCTCCGGATATAAATAATACGACGTCAATAAAATAATGACAATATGCGTTCATCCTCTTCGTTTCACTTTCTTAACAAAATTACACGTTGCGTTATTATATTAATACCTACTTCGCACAATGTCTCGTGTGAAAAAACACGTACACTGAGTTAAATAAAAAAACGACGATGATGATGAGAATGATCGAATGACGATGATAATATTTATCCCCGCCGTGTTCTCTGGAGGGAAAAGAAGCTGAGGATGATCCTAAATACTCTTTAATATCAATTATTAAATAATAATTGAATCACAAAAACAAATTGCAATTTTTAAATTATTAACAAATACATCTTTCTTCGAATTTTATCAAATGGTAAAGTTTCTTGGAGAAACTTAAATTGTCAAGAAAATTGATTTGAAAAGACACTTGATTTGAAAAGAAACTTGAGTTGAAAAGAAACTTGATCTGAAAAAGAACTTGAATTGACAAGAAACTTGAATTGACAAAAAAACTTGAATTGACAAGAAACTTGAATTGAAAAAGAACTTGAATTATCAAGAAACTTAAATTATCAAGAAACTTGAATTACCAAGAGACTTGAATTATCAAGAAACTTGAATTGATAAGAAACTTGGATTATCAAGAAACTTGAATTACTAAGAAACTCGAATTGACAAGCAACTTGGATTATCAAGGAACTTGAATTACCAAGAGACTTGAATTATCAAGAAACTTGGATTATCAAGAAACTTGAATTACCAAGAAACTTAAATTATCAAAAAACTTGAATTGTCAAGAAACTTGAATTACCACGAAACTCGAATTACCAAGAAACTTGAATTACCAAGAAATTCGAATTACCAAGGAACTTGAATTACCAAGAAACTTGAATTATCAAGAATCTTGAATTATCAAGCAACTTGGATTATCAAGAAACTTGAATTACCAAGATACTTGAATTATCAAGAAACTTGAATTACCAAGAAACTTGAATTACCAAGAAATTCGAATTACCAAGCAACTTGGATTATCAAGAAACTCGAATTACCAAGAAACTTGAATTACCAAGAAATTCGAATTACCAAGAAACTTGAATTACCAAGAAACTTGAATTACCA